TCAGTGGCAAATTCTTTAAATATAAAAAACTTACTTACAGTCTGTGTGTAGTCAGAACAGCCGGCATTGTCTACTCTCCCAGGATCAGGAAACAGTCCTCCATAAAATGCGTTGCACACATCTGAATATTTGTGTGAAATACAACTTAACCACTGATTTCTAGTCGTGTCCTCTTTTGGAAGGCCAAACAAAGTATTTTTCCCACATAGTGAGGTAGATATGTGGGGGCGTGTCTAAACGAGGCATTTTAGGAGGGCGTGGACCAGTCTAAACTTTTATAAAGAATATCTCTTTGGGTTTGAGACTTTAGTATTTGCAACTTCAGGGATCTTATCTATTCACAAACAGCTTGTAACACTCCAAAGAGAAAGGAAAACTTGAAATCGCATCATATGACCCCTTTAAATTTTAATTATATCTTAAATTATGAATTATTTTATTTGTTGCTGTTTACCATGTTACTAGATATTTTGAATGTATAATTATTATTATTATCATCATTATTATTCTTAATCGTTTTGTTAAAAAAATATTTTTGAATTATATTTTTATTTGTCATATTTTTATATTTTTCTTTGTCATGTTATTTAAATTATATTTATATTTATTATGCATAATTTTATGCTTGCAGTTAGATTATATTTTTCAATTATTTATTATATTTGAACTTTTTATCATTTTACTATATATTTTAGTTAATTGTTTTACTGACAGATTTGTTATTATTAATTTTATTTTTACATTATAATTATATTTATCTTATTTGTATATCTATCTATTGTTACTTTATATATTTTTATTTTTATTATATATGTTGTTTATATATTATATTTTATATTTAAATTATATATTTGTTGGCTTAATTACAACTTTTAATTTATAATTACATTTATTTATTTAATATTTCATTTTTTATGTATATTTCTAGGCCACTGCAGAGACAGTATATGACATCTTATCTCCAACTCCACCTCTGACACGTTACATCACTGAGGGACGTCCCACTCCCCGTCCCAGACGCACCCCTCAGCCAGCTGACCTCAGAGAGGGTGTGGCCAAGGCCTATGATACCGTCAGAGAGGTACATCCCTGTATTATTAACAACATGTTTGTCTCTCTGACTATTTCGTTTAATAAATGTATAATATAAAGTGTTTATGGCTAGTCCAACTCTTTTTATCACTGACGTCCTCATGCCATTTTCGCCTTTCCCAGGGAGTGATTGACACCGCTCAGACCCTGTGTGATGTCGCGTCTCGTGGTCACGAGCAGAAAGGTCTTCCTGGAGCAGTGGGCGGGGTTTTGCGTCAGATCCCGCCCACTGTAGTCCGTCCACTTATAGTTGCCTCAGAGGCCACTTCAAACCTACTGGGAGGAATGCGGAACCAAATTAAACCAGATGCGCGGAAAGAGGACTTCTTAAAATGGCGCACCGAAGATGGCCAAGAATGAGATTGACAGGCGTTAATGAAGTCTGATTTTTGTTAGTATGAATGGGAGAGTGTGAATGTGAGTTCATCTGTGAGTGTCAATGCAAAAACAAAGGACAAAAAAATGGAAACTGAACCATTTTTAAGTGGCTTCCACATAGTTGCACACATTGTTTCAAGCAATGCAATGTTTTGGTCTTGCACTTTTGCTCTAGACAGCCAAGTGCAGCTCAGTCTCATCTTGTCGTATTGAAACGTATGCAATCATATCCATCTGTAACTCTGTTTACCTGTGAGCTCAAGACCAGGTGTTTCTTTTCCCTCTCTGAAACCCTCATTTAACATCTGATTGAATCGATATTCTCCCTCTCAAGTATCTCAAACATAATGTTGAGGTTAATTACTCATTTCGGTAAGGTGAAACGCTTATTGAATGCGTTGAGGTGGCCTTTTCATTTAACACTAGGAAAGTGATTCTTCTTTTCCTCTCTATCCTGATGTCTTTGTGCCATAATTCTACTTCACTGACATTACAAAGATCTTGTTTTAAACTGTTTAAGCCTAAAATAATGCATTCGTTATTTGAATGATGCAGTCTTTGTATGGGATGGATCATTTAATTTTCTATTCATCTTCTCGTCTTTCAGAATTTAATGAAGGATTATTGTCTTGTCCTTTTTGGGTGAATCTTGCAAAATGTCCAGGTCATATTTCACCCCAAAATCAAAAGATAAAAGTAAGTAATTCGATTTTACATAAAGAAAATAAAGCCTATGTTAGGATTTCCTGCATTGCAACATAATTTTCTTGACAATTGCACATATTTGCATCTGTAACGCATCCGGATATTGTACATTTAATTCTTAATTTCATTTTCATTTCTGTAATGCAGTATTTTTATTTAAATCAGCATAAAGTCAGTACAACACACACACGCATATATATATATATATATATGCTATTTTATTATTATTTTTACATTGCAGTAGATTTTTTTTCCTTACATTAATGAGATTTGTGGATTGAAATGTGGTTAAATTGTCCAGAAAAATAATGCACAATGCAAACTTTATTTTCTTTTGGGTACAATATAGTTTTTCTTTTGTTTTTGTGGTGAAATATGACCCAGGCATGTTCTTGACAGATTCAGCCTTTTATCTGCCATTTACTCCTCAATCAAACGTGCTTGCTTTCGTCTCATTAGTTGCCTTCCTACATGTTTTAAATATTTTATTTCATGTGTAATAATGGCTAGTGAAATGTAAAAACTGATAATGTTGAGCATTTGATGTCCTTGTGCAGGAAGAAGCGGTGGGGAGTGGGTTGGTTGACAAAGGGCTTATGGGTAATGTTACATTCACTTTTTTTGTTAATTGCATAACAGTGTGAGGGAAGTTAGTTTTTGGTGTGTGTTTTTATTTGTCTAAGTATGTACAGTGTGTGTTTGAGCGAGTGTGTCAGGACATGCATGTTTGTATATTGATGGTTGACTGGCTGGCTATGTGATTCATAGCTATCAGTGTGCGTTTGTTTCTTCTGTAATTACAACTATATCATACGCTGTAAGAATTACCTGTATAGTACCAAGACGATGTGTAAACAAATTAATACAAAAAAAATGAATAAAAATGTGCATTTGAAAAATATTGTAATTTACTGTTGTAAATGTTGCATCCACAGAGGCAATAATAGTGTGATTTAATAAATCATTTTATATAGCTTGATAAGGCAGATTTTTATTTCTGTACTATCCAAGAAAATGACATTAATAGATTTAAACACATTTATTTTATGCTATGTGACAAGGTGTTTGTCTCACTGCAAACAGTCATTTTTTTCCCTGATATGCATATACTATATGCATATCAGAAAATATACACATGTATAGCCTATAGTCTAAAACCCACATGCTACAGGATTGCAGGTTTACTTGGTTAAATAAATTCAATTATTTGATAAAACAGAAAAATTAATAAATAAATAAACGGGGTAAAGGTTTGCAAAATAGCCTATTATCATTAGCAGAAATGTCAAATATGATAGAGGGTAAAGTTATATCAAACCCTTGTTTTACCCGTCAGATATTGTAATTTAAAATTTTAGCACGTGTGTGTTTATTGTGTTTACTTGTTACCCAGCCGCTATTACAAAAATGATTTTGAATTTTAGTTTGGAGGACATTATAATTTAGCACTTTTTTGAAAAAGACCTTTGAAATCCACATTCAGAACCACTAAAGAAACACATTTGTATAATTGTAATTTAGACTCAACAAATTAGTCACTGACATTTAACCATAATATTACAGCTTAAATTGAAATGATTACATACTGTATATTCCACTTATAATGACATAATGCAGTCTACGTGCGGAACCAAATACACCGCGCTTTGTTTCTCGGGGGGCTTGTTTTAGAGGTTGCATACAGTCATCGCCAAAACGCATGTGGTTGTTGTTTATAACGTAACGCTTTTATAATCGTTAAACTTTGTTTCTGAAATAAATAGCCACATACTGCGGAAATGAAGCTGTTAACGCATAACATGTTAACATCCCACGTGAAAGGTGTGATTAAAGGATACCCACTTATTATCAAGGTGAGCTTGACGTACAGTGTTTTCAGTCCACACGGCTTCTAGCTTTTTTAACGAACTCATCGCTCAAAAATCAAACATTCATATCAGAAAGTTTACAGGGAAGCTGCATGTCTATGAAACATTTTTGACCAAGATTTTAATTTTAGATAAAAAATATGTGACAGGATAAGCTGAATTAACATGAGTGTTAGAGCTTGAAATGTCAACTGCCGAAGATAAATACATAATATAACGTTATACCTATAAAGTGTGTGTGCGCGCGTGTCTATATAGACCAGGGGTGCCCAAACTCGGTCCTGGAGGGCCGGTGTCCTGAAGAGTTTAGCTCCAACCCCAATTAAACACCCGAACCAGCTAATCAAGCTCTTACTAGGCATACTAGAAACTTGAAGGCAGGTGTGTTGAGGCAAGTTGGAACTAAACTCTGCAGGACACCGGCCCTCCAGGACCGAGTTTGGGCAGCCCTGATATAGACACACACTATGCTTTTGAATGACAAATCTGACTCTTGTTCTGTCTTGGCTCATGAATGAAGGCAACAGAAGTGAAAGTGAATGAGCTGGAGTTCAATGCTCAGTTTGTGACCCGAATGATCCCTAAGCTGGAGTGGAGTGCATTGATCCAGGCAGCAGGATGGGTGAGTGAAGATAATGTGTTTCATGTCATTTCAATGATATTTCATAAGGAGGGTGAATTTGTACAGCTTTCCAGTAAGTACTGTTTAAAAAGGAGGTTTTTGTCTGTGCATGATACATCAGTATCGGCTGATATTAACATGTCTCCCATTGCATTAAACTGGTGGATTGAGGGATACTCATGAATTGTTTTTAACAGCTTGGACAGTCTCAAGACCTGCCCAGCACTCTCATACCAGACTATGAAAATGATGAGGAGTTCCTGCGTAAAGTTCACAGAATTCTTCTGGAGGTGAGACAAATCAGATGACTTATAGAGAGTATTTAATGTTTTTTTTTTTTTTTTTTTTAATAGTTTAGTCATTTCCTATGGACCCTTTTCACATGTTCGGGGTTCTCAGAAGCAGAAGTCTATAAGAAATACCTTTTTTGAGTTCCCATTTGCCCCAAAAGCAAAAAAAATAAATCCAGTATAGCGTTTCTGTGACTTTCCAAAAGAGAGAAAAAGATTGAAAGATTGATTACATTGGTCAGAAGCAAGTAAGATGTCAAATTTGAACTTTAGTTAGTTCTAATAGCGGTGTTCTCTTTCCTCATAGGTTGAGGTTATAGAGGGATGTTTACAGTGTCCTGAATCTGGCAGAGAGTTCCCAATCTCCAAAGGTGTTCCCAACATGTTACTCAATGAAGACGAGTAGATCAAGCTGCTACACGTGTCCCAGAAGAAAATTATATTGAATATCAGACCCACATTTTTGGGGTGGTGTTTTATTCAAAGGATAATGGAGAGAAACGTAAGACCATAATTCAAAAGTTATGCTGATTTATACAGTCATGTTCAACTACTGTCTCCAAACATGTGGTTGCTTTGCATTTGGTTGCTATGAGAATTTACTTTTTTGTTGTTTCTGTCATTGTATATTGTGCTTTGTAAAATATGAAATAAATTTGTATTGATTAAGTTGGGCTTTAGTAGATTCTTTTTTCTGTACAAATCGCCTTCGGTTACTTGTTGGTGCGGCCTGCAAATAATAATGACAACAATTACTTTTTTTTTTTTAATAATAATAATAATACATAATAATAATAATAAAAACATTACAAACAATTATCATTTCTTATTTTTATTAATTGTCAAACAAAAAACAATCACATCACAATTATAATAATACTAATAACACACAATCTTATATA